TTTTCTTTCTTCCATTGCATTTGTTTGATCCGCCTGTTTTTCTCTCTTTCGTTCTCTCTCATTTTTTTATACCTTTCGCTTGTCGCCTTAAACATGTAGAAAATGCTTCTTCTTATTATTTTCTACTGAAAGCGCCCAGACACACAAACGATGTAGTAAAACATTTCGATGAGAAAGTTTTGCCGAGCGAATCGTTCTCTGCATATTTCCAAGAAAAAGATGTCTGAAATTGCGCTTACAATGTGTGCCCAAACTTAACGTGGCAACAACAAGAAGCGCCAGCAGTTTGAGAAAAGAAACGTTGGCACAAAAAAACAGAAATCAGTTCTTTGATTCAAAAGTTGAATCAGCTCACTTTTTATGGATGTTGAATTCACTCTCATTCCCACACACGCGAGCACACAAACATATTACCAAGCGAAAGATTTAAAGACATCAGTACGTCATGTAATATTTATTAGACGCTGCATTCAAAACTTATGACGATGTAAATAACACACAGACGAACGGGAGAAATAAAAGGAGTACATGAACAAACAAAAAGTGAAGCGTACGGCAACTTTTCAACGACTGTTGAATAAAATTCGCGGCTGCAAAATAAATGCCATTCGTTGGAAAGCTCGCAGTAAATACGATTAAGATTATTTAAGCAACTTCGTTTGATTTGTAACTTTTAAATAAGATAAATACTTATTTTAAGTGCAGCGTCGAATGGTTTGGCATTCAGCATCAAGTGTCTTTTCTTCTCGAATATATACATTCAATGCAGCCGAGCTGCTCGAACAGTTTTCAACTTTATGTAGCTGATAAGAAATGCACGCCATTCGGAATTCGGTTGCCGTCGGTTTGGATTGTTTTAATAACAGATTACCCGTCGTTTATAGATCGCTATTCATTGCCGATTCTGCGAAATTTATTTGTGACTTTTTGCGCTCCGGATTTATTGCAGTTTTTGGTCAATCGCACGCAATTTTTATTGGAACAAAAGTACCATAAAATTGAGTTTTTATCGGGCCAGTCATAAAATGATGGAAGGAGAAAAAAACACATTTCGACAAATATACATTTCCCAAAGTATTTTGGATTTATTGATTCTGGAGTATGTATAAAAAAGAACCTGAATTAAAGAATGAAATGTGTCCAATGCTCAAAAATGGTCGTAGATAAAACTGAACTTTTTTTATGGTCATCCCAAAGTCGAATGAAGACAACAACAAGACTCTTTTCAATTCAAGTAGAATTTAAAAAACAATTTTATTCACTTTTCTTACATTTCAATTTGTGGCGGTTTTTTTTTCTCTTCAAAGTTTGGCAATTTTGTCATTTTTGTCATTTTACAATTTTATGATATTTCTGAAATGAATTTGTAAGTAACAAAAACAAAATTCTGTGCCAACTGAATCATAAAAAAGAGATGGAATACTAAAAACAAGGCAAACCCGCGCAGCGGAAAAAGACGAACGAACATACATAAAAAAATATATTCAAATTTTGCATGGCAGACAACGTTTGACGATGTGAAAAATCGAAATAGAAATAAATGTATGCACACTTGCACGCCATAATTTCGCTGGAGCCATAAGTTTCTTTCACTTTCTCTCTCTCTCTCTCTCTCTCTCTCTCTCTCTCTCTCTCTCTCTCTCTCTCT